CCGGGCTGCCGGGGCAGGGATCCGAACGCCACCGGCAGAGGGAGGGAGGGAGGGGCTGGCCTGGGAAGGCCGAGAGGGGCGCTGCGAGGAAAGGGCTAGGAGAGAGGGCTGGCCTAGCCCAGACGCCTATTCAAACTCAGGACAGCGCCCCCACGCCTCCACTTGGGGTTCCCTCATCAGCACCTCGGCTGGCTGTCTCCCTCTGTATTCCGTCCCCCTCAGCCCCGCTGGGGATCCCCAGTCTGACCTGGTCAGCAGCGGGAAAAGGGCCGCGACAGGTGGGCGCCGAGGCACAGCCTGGCGCCACCCCCAAGTGCCTACCAAGGCCGCCCTGGCCCTGTCGGGCAAGGGCCTGGCGCCTGGGCCGCAGTGTCAGGTTCCTGTGCTCTACCCTGTGCCGAGCTAAACTTAGGGTCTGTAATCCAACCCTGACCCCAAACGTGGCCTTGTTTCCACCTCTGTAACTATTTTCCTACAGCTGTTCTCCTCTTTTTTCTTTGCTTGATTTTTGAAGAAGTATTGCACTCAATTTTCTCACTTTATTCAGTAATATTCTTCGCTTTCCAACCCAGCTCTTTCTTTTGCCTCTAGCTAGTTTCCACAGCCCCTGTCCATACCCTCTGGTATTTACTCCCGCTGACAGTCTTTCTAGTCGAGCTTTCTCTCCTTTCCTTAGAGACCGCTGCGATTCTAATCGAAAGGTTCAGGCCTCACCTGGCTTGCCCTCTGAGGCTCCCTCTTTTCTGACACCTTCTCAGCACCTTCTAGGACACTGCTTTCTTCTGATTTTTCCCTCATGCCTATGGCCTCCTTTCTTCTTAGCCTCAATGTGGTTTTCTTTTCTTCTCCCTGCCTTTATTCAGAGGCCCTTGGGCCTCTGTCTACCCTTACTCTTTTGTTATATCCTCTACTTTCTTGGCTTAAAAGACCCTCCCCTGGCTGATAACTCCACAGCAGTAAAAGTCATAGTCCTTACAATAAACTAAGGGTTCCTTACGTTTTCTGTCCCTAACTCTCACATCTCCACGTCTCTGTTTTCACTCTTCTTTCTCTCTGGTGTTAATTCCTTCCCAGCCACCTGGACCTCCTTGATATGCCTACACTACATCAAATACTCCTACCTCATGGCCTTTGCACTGGTTGTTGCTATTGTCCTATTTTCTCCCAGGTACCTGCACAGTTCATTTTCTACTTGTTTGCAAATTTTTTCAGTGTCACGTCGTCTGTGAAGCCTACCTTGACCACACATTGCTTATGTACCAACCCCCACAATGAATGTAATCATTGTCTGAAGACATGTACTAATAAAAGTTAAAATTAAAGAAAAAGCATCTATTAACAAGTTCCCTGCCAAGCATGACGGCACACTCCTGCAATCCCAATACTTGAGAGGCTACGGCAGGAGGATTACTGCAAGTTCAAAGCCAGCCTGAACATAGTGAGACCCTATTCCAAAAAATCAACAAACAAACAAACAAACAAAACAAAATGAGAAAACTCCACGAGCTCCCTTCCTCACTGTTGGCTTCTTTTCCAGCACTCTATCTCTTCTAGAGCGTGAGTCTAAGGAGGATAGATTGTGTTGTTTGTTCACAGCTAAACTCTCGGTTTCCAGAGCAGTTGTTAGTACATTCCATAAACACTTTCTTGGATTGGAGAGATTAAACGTAGTTCAAAATTCAGAAGCTAAATAGTGGAACGTTTCCTCAACACCTGTGCCCCGCATTCTCTCTCCATCTCCAGTAATTATTTTTATTATTTTGGATTCATGCATTTAAATATTCTATGTTTTACAACACTTTTTAAAAAATTAAACAAGGGCCAGGGATTTGGCTCAGTAGTCCTGCTCAGTTTGCCTAGCAAGCAGAAGGTGCCGAGTTTGATCCCTGGTACAAAACAAAAAAAACCAAAACAAACAAACAAAAAAAACCTGCAGCATACTGTACAGTCTATCTTACTTCCCTTTCGTGGGGTACAGTTCACTTTGGACATGATGCTTGAACATTTCCTATCCTTTTGCCACAGCCGTTTCCGGGTTCTTATTCGGGCCTCACTGGTCTGCGGACTGATCTGACACCATCCTCCCTCCCTGCGCCAAGTAAAGCTTAAGAAGAGAGTGAGAGAACACCCTTTACCGTGCGGGGATGTAGCTCAGTGGTAGAGCGCATGCTTTGCATGTATGAGGCCCCGGGTTCGATCCCCGGCATCTCCACTTAGATTTTGAGCTTTTCACTTTTGTTACTTTGTCTTCCGGGTTTGGAACTCTACGGTATCAGTCGAGTGCTTGAGAAAACATCGAAAAGCGGACTGCGCAGGTTAGAAAGGGTGCTCGGGAGCTCTCATCTTTCCTCCAAGCCCCAGTTACTATTTGCTCTTTTGATCAAAAATCCAAAAGGCAGGAGCGTTCCACTGACATCCTGATGCATGTGTGTCTGCTTTTCCAGCTGCAGAAACTTCACTGCAGAGGGGAAAAGACCGGGTCATTGGCAGAAAAGAATAAACAGAAAAAGGAGAACGTGGGAGGTGCTGTCTGGCACTGACGGCAGAGTCAGAATTTTCTAGTTTACTAAGGCACTTTAATCTGTTAGATTTGAATTAAACAGAATTTCAAAACTGGATAACAGCCCAAAAGTAATCTTGAGAGAAATCTTAGTAAAACATATCTAACAGTTGCCCGGCTAGCTCAGTCGGTAGAGCATGAGACTCTTAATCTCAAGGTCGTGGGTTCGAGCCCCACGTTGGGCGATCGTGTTTTGTGTACTTTAATACACTGATTGGGAAAAAACAAAATAAAACAAAGAAAGAAAGACTGTGCAAGTTGATATAAGCAGTGGTCACATGGACATTTCATAAATTCTGTTATGGAAAGATGAATGTTTTGTTGTAAATATGCATCAAAAATTGACTATTTTAACTCCCCTCTTTTTTTTTTTTTTTTTTTGGTGGGGGGCAAACCAAGGCCTTTTACATGCGGAGTAAGCAGTCAATCTACCACTCATTACTCCCTCAGCTCTTATTTTAAATTGAAAAATTATGTAGCATTAAATATATTCATATTGCTACCCAGTCACCACCACCATCATCCATACCCAGGTTTGGGGTTTTTTTGTTTTTTGTTTTTTTTGTCTGAATTTGCGTGTATTTGCTATTCCCCACTTTCCCTAGGCCTCAGCAATCATAATTCTTTCAATGTTCTGACAATGTTCTGATTTCCCTAGAAAGAGTAATACTCTTCTTTGTCTTCATTTTATGTTCTTTGTGGTACTGGAGGCTGAGCTCAGGGACTTCTCGCTGAGCTACATTTCTAGCCGGGTGGAATCACTAAGCTCATCCCTGACCTCCTCGCCCTTTTTTGAGACAAGACCTGCTAAATTGCTCAGACCATTGTCCAACTCCAGGTTCTTCTTCCTCAACAGTCCTGGGCCCCTATACCGGGCTAATACTGTGTTTATTCTTTTTAACTCTCCTTTTCTCCCTCTCACTTTTTGAGACAGTGTATCACCATGTAGATCAGGCTTGAACTCAATAATAGCGCTGGCTGACCTCGAACTTGTGGCTATCTTCCTGCTTCAATTTCCTGCGTGATGGGATTACAGGTTTGTTTGTTCTAACAAGCCCAGCCCTCTTTTCAATTCTCTTATTTCACTTAGCATAACATCTTCAAGGTTAATCTATATTCTAGCATGAGTCAACATTTCTTTTTTGTTGTTGCTTTGTTTTTGTTTTTTGAGACAGGGTCTCACTGTGTAGTGAGACTGACCTGGAACTCGCTGTGTAGCCCATGCTGGTCTCGAACTCACAGTGATCCTCCTGCCTCAGTCTCCTGAGTGCTGGTGTTGCAGGCGTGCGCCACCACGCCCAGCTAACATTTCTTAATGTATATTGTAGCATGTGTCAAAAGTTTATTTCCTTTTAATGTTAAAAATATTCTACTACATATATATACTATATTTTTATCCATTCATTTGTCTATGGATACTTGGTGTCCTCCACCTTTTGTCTATTGTGAATGATGCTATGAACATGGATATACAAATGTGTGTCAATTTATGTTTTCTCATGTTGTGGGTATACACCCAGATGTGGAATTACTGGGTTATACGGCATTTCTTTTTAATTAAAAAAAACTATATAGTTTTCCACTGGTGCTGTGCCACAAAATGGAATTTTCTAAACGTCTTTTCAGTAGGTAATACATTACAAGACTTAAAATTTAAACATCTGTTGTCAGTAACCTTAGATTTTTTTTTCCC